CAGTCCCTTGTAGATCTTGAGAACGCCAAAGGACCCGGCGACGCTCTTCAGCTGGGTCGCCAGGCTCAGGCCCGACTTCTGCTGCTGAATCATGAGAAACTCGGCGGGGCAGCCGATGAAGGCCGAGGACGCGCCGGCAGACAGGGCGATGCCGATGGTGGAGATGCCGGTGGGGTTGTAGCCCAGGTGCTGCTGGTGCAGGGACTCCAGCAGGCGGTTCACCCCAAATTGGGTGGCGGTGATGGGAAAGGTAGCGGCTGAGTTGACCTGGCATGGTATGGTGGGTGGGAGGGGTCATGGGGTGTACATTGTTGGAGTGCTTGTCATTGGCCGCACAGATTTGGGCATTCCGTGAATTTCAGCGCAGTATGGCGTGCTTGTCCATCTTCAGTGCACGGATGACGAGGGCCGGACCCCTCCCTTTTCCAAAGGGCACGTCCCTGAGATCAAGAAACCCATGGCCATAGAGTATCGCCCACTCACCGCCAGGCCGCGGTACAGGGTCATGGGCGATCGGGGGATGGGACGGCCCTCCTGCAGCGCGTTTTTGATGGCGATGGTGGGCTGCATGATGCAGGTCTCCGTGAACCCCGCCACGCCACCAATGGCGGTGTGCTCCAGGGGCGTGACCGAGCTCATGACGACAGACTATGCTCCCGCTGGTCAGACTCTGATCTCAGTACTCCTTGTGAGTGGAGCAGGAGCTGCACAGGATATTTTGGAGGTCCGCAGAGCTGTGGATGAGAAGGGCTGACGCGCAGGTCTCCCGACAAAGTGCTCAGGTTCTGGCTAGGGCGCGCCTTGACTGGAAATGCGAGACTGTACCTCACCACGTCAGGGACCACGCTGGACAGTCCAACCAGTTCCTTTGCCCTTGAGATCAGTCATGCTGGGTCATGGTGCGCCTTATCTCCCTCTGCGGCTGTTTGGAAATAGCTGCGCCTAACTTGCCCGCGCCCAGAGGGCTCCCGCTTTCCAGCCTTGATGGGATGGAGGGAGTCGGGCTATGATCCAGCAGGTTTACATCAGACAGTAAGCAAGGATGGGACAATTATGAGCTGTCAATATTTGCTTTGACATATGGTATTGTTACATAAAGCTGTGTCTCCCCTGCGGCCAGCATGGTAGCTGGGTCAGCAGCACCTTCCATTAGACCATTCAAGTCTGCCACGATGCTGGAGGCCAGATCCCGCGACTGGTCGCTGTACGAGCAGAAGGCGTGGGTCTGCCCCGGAATACGCCGAAGCTGTGTTCTCCCGAGTCTCTGCACAGTGAGTTGGGCTCGTTCTGGCACTCTTCACAACTTCAAATCTCGGATGGCAACCATCAAAGCCAGGTGCCATCCCGTAGGGTGGACAGCCACTCACGCGGTGCAGGGATTCCCTTCACCCCTCCCCAATACACCTTCTCGAGCAGCTGCTGCTGCCAGGCGGGGCACCACATGTCCCCCTCCGCCAGGTACGCCGTGAAGGAGGGCAGCCTCCGAAGGTCATCCCAGGGCAGCGACCCCTCCAGCTCAGCAAACTCGGTGCTGGCCAGGAAGAGCGCGTTGCGCACCGAGTCCGAGCGCAGCACGAGCCGCGTCGCCGCCAGAGCGTGCTCCTCCTGCATCCCCGACTGCACTCGCACCACGGCACTGCGCAGCGCGGGCGGAAGAATGATGGGAATGCTTGGGCGAGTGACGGCCCAAAGTGTGCCAAAGGGCGGCTGCTGTTGGGGGCGGCCAGGGAAGAGGCTACGGCCCTGCGAGGCCCCACACCGCTGCACCTGGGGCCCCAGGCCCGGCAGCCGTGCCCTCCCCGTCGCAGCGCGGGGTCTTGAACAGCCGCACCGGCCCCACCGGGCCGCGCGCGCGCGCCCCCTCCAACCCCCCCCCTTTCCCTCCCACCCTCCTGAGCCAGGGGTGCGGCAGGAGCTGGAGGGGGGCCACCAGCCGCCCCACCCACCGCCAGCGCCGACTCAACCAGGCCAGGCTGCGCTGACGGGGACAGGCTGGGTCGTGCTCCAGGAAGGGGTACATGGCGACCACGGCGCGGACGCGGGCGTCGGCCGCCCCCGCCGCGGCCTTGATGGCCATGTAGGCCCCGATGCTGTGGGCCAGCAGGGCCAGGGGGGGCTGGCCCTCCTGGCTGAAGTGCTGGCGCAGCAGGTCACTCTTGTGCTGGATCTGGTCGCTCAGGGAGAAGACCTGCCGGGGGTAAGGAGCCCTCGGATGGCGGGGGGCAAGATGCCGCATGGAGTCTACCACTGCATGCCCCTGTCCCCTGCGACCACTTTGTTTGAGCGGCTGGACCACGTCAGGGAGAAGAAGATCGGCCTTGAAGCATGCCTGACGCTGGACTCACCTCAACCCACCCAACTCCAGACCACCCCGCACCCCCGAGGTTAGGCCCTGGCCGTCCATGCCCAGCTGGGACACGCATGTGATGCAGGCCCTGCCTTGCAGACCCTGGTGCAGGCTGTGCATGAAGGGCTCATAGTACTCTGCCACCCCAGGATTGCCAGGGATGATCAGGACGTTCAGGCGAGGGGGGCCTGCAGTGACGTGGAGCGAGCACGCTCGAGCAATGGTGCGCATGTTGTTACACAAACACACGCAAAGGACAGATCTACTGCCCCGCTCACCTTGGGAGGGCAGGCGCAGGACGTGGGTGGGGTGGCGCCCCACCGTCCAGACGGCTCTCGCCACCTGGGTGCTGCCGGTCCCAGTCTTCATAACCCAAAGTGGCCTGCTCCAACGTCAATGTATCATTGCAGGAGGATATGAAAGAAAATGCAGGTCTGGAGCATGCACTGGCCATAGCGTCGCACTGCTGATGCTTTACAGGAATAGTCCTCCATGACAAATATGCCAGCCCGAGCCCGCAGGCATTTCACGTATTTGTGCGATCGCTTAATGGTGCAGTGAATGCTGCTTTATATGCAATGTATCTACATGACGCATGACTACGTTTGCACTACCCTGGCGCTCCCCTCCTCGCCGCGATCCAAGTGCACACCCACCAGATCACTGGACTGCCTGTTCAGGAATGTAGGCCCCTCTGATCGACCGCATCCGCCGACTGTTATTTGATTAAATTATTTTATGTCTTGATTACATAGAACACCGTTCTATCACTCGTAATACTGTGCCAAGGATACACGACGCTGAGGCATGGCGGACAGTAGAGCACCAGGGCTCGCCCACCCGGGAGAGGATCATGAGGCGCCACCACCGCCTCCACCACGAGTCGAGGTGCCAGGGCCCCTCTTGTCACCCACTGTCCTGGGCGAGGACAGCAGCTCTCTCTCCATCAGTCTCCACCGAGCGTCTGTGCTCCAGACCTCCCATGATGGCCGGCCACGACACTTCGGTCTAAACTATGACCTGCAGATGCAGCAGGTGAGATATTATGTGGTACATTGGAGTGCATGGATTGGTGTCATCCTCTGAGGACACGGTATCCGCCGCCAGTGCCGCTGGCGGGCAGAGGATCACATCCTTGCTGCAGCAGCTGCCTCGCGCCACGTCATGGACCCGTGCTGCCATCGCATTGCTGAACCTTCACCCCTCCCTGCCACAGCTTCATGAAGATCAGGGTGTGAGGGACCATAAGTGGCGCACCCAGGTTGGTCAGGGCTGGCCTTTTGGGTGGGACAGCGATGCGCCATGCTGCATGCAGGTGTCCCCTCGGCCCCCGCTGTGCCATGCCCCACAATCGAACACCTGCTGAAAGGTATGACATGCCACGCCTCCCACCTTGTCATGCATGCAGTACCTTGGGCCCGAGACGCACGTCAGGGTGAATGGCCTGCGGCCCGGTCGGACATACGCCATCCGGGTCAGGGTCCAGCTCGTCTGCGACGACCCTGAGGTGGAGCTGGCGACGCCCCCGCCCTCGCCCATCTGCACCACCAGCACCACCCCGACTCCCCCCCAAGCCCCTGCTGCTCCGGGACTCTCCAGCCGGCAGAGGAACGCGCTCAAGGTGCGGGGTGCTGTGGTGGACACAGCCTTGCCTCTCCGCCGTCTCCGTGCCGGGATCGGGAACACCTGGTTGCGGGGCTGGGGTGCACTGGCTGGCATGGGCCGGACACCCTGCATTGCCTGGGCAATCAAAGCTGACAACCTCCTCCCCTAGCCCGGGTTCCATCCGACCTGTCTGCCTGCCCTGCACAGTTCAAGTGGTGTGACCCTGACGAGACCGGTGGCAGACCTATCCTGGAGTGGGTCCTGCAGGTGGCGGGCCCAGGCGTGTCTGAAGACCCCCAGGTGACTGCGGGTGACTTCTGTGACGTGTGGGAGGGATTACACGGATTGACGCAGCATCGCAGCAGGAGACCTTGCCAGGTCAATTTCGGTGGGGTTTGCCGTGCTTTCCTACCATACGCCCTGGAAGGTACCACAAAACCCGGCCGGTGCACCGCTCTGCTTCACCTTGGCAATGGTAACGTGTCTGACACAGGGGCTGCACACCGTCTACCGGGGCGCCGACACCTCGTTCCTGCTGAAGAGGCTGGCGTGCGGGACTCGGTACACCGCCCGCGTCAAGGTGGGGCATGCAGGGGCTGGCTGGGATGATTCTGCGTCGGGGTGGCAGGGTGTGGGTGTGAGCCTCGCTGGCGCCCAGCCCCCCATCTGGCATTGTGACGGGGAGTGGATGCCTGTTTGGGCCTGCAGGAACAATGAGTTCCACATTGTCCTCTGCAGGCCATCTCCTGCATTGGAGAGAGCCCCTGGAGCCCGACCTGCTCTGTTTCGACACCGGCGGCGGTGCCGGCCGCGCCCCTGGCGCCTGTCGTCGTCGAGCGCGACGCCAGCAGCGTGACGCTGACCTGGCACGCCCCGCACAACAACGGCAGCGACCTCACCGGCTACCTGCTGGAGCTGGATGACGGCGGGTGCGGGGAGGTCACGGGGGTGAGGTGGTGGGATTGGTGTCGCGCGTCATGTCTTTGTGAGGGCCACTCGCATCTGTGCCAAGCGCCGCTCGCTGCTTGGGGTCGGCCGTGGGGCGTGCATGGCTCCAGGGGTGTCCTCGGCTGGCACGCGACTTGAGTGGCTTCCACGCACACATCACCCATCGCTGCAGCGGCGATGGCTTCCGCTTTCTGTACACGGGCCTGGCGCTCTCACACCGGGCCGCCAGCCTGGTCAGCGGTGCAGTCCATCGCTTCCGGTTGCGCGCCGAGAACGGCGTGGGCCACAGCGTGTGGAGCCCGGTGCTGGAGGTGGGCACGGCCGCCACGACCCCGGGCGAGCCGGAGGGGCTGGCGCGGCTGGGGGCCACGCTGACCTCCGTCAGCCTGGTCTGGAAGGTGCGTGAGTGCGTCGGGGATGGCACGGAATGTCGTATCGGAGACGGCTGCCACATCCTGTTGCCCGGCGGGGCCACCCTCCGCAGGACGGCCGGCGGAGCCGCAGGCCCTGCCCGCCGGACCACACTGCCTCGTGGCTGCATGTTCTGCCCAACCACCGCTCACGCCTGCCTGCCCACCGCCCCTGCAGGCCCCTGCGTCGGACGGCGGCTGCCCGGTTTCGGGATACTCGGTCGAACTGAGGCCCGCCTGCAAGGCGGCCGCCCGCACCAGGCCAGACTCCTTTGCGCCGGTGACTGAGGTGAGGCGGCGGGCGGGCTTGACCCGCGGGGGGTGCTGTGCCGGAGCCCCGGCGGGGCCACGCCTGGGGAGGGGCGGAGAGGCATGCAGGCGGCGCGGCCGGGCCCACGTCCCCACACCGCCTCCACGAAACATGCCGCCCCCCCCCCCCCTTCCTCCACCCTGGAGTGCTCGGGCCCGTCCTGCACGCTGACCTCCCTCAGCCCCGGCTGCCGATACCTGGTGCGCGTCGCGGCGAGGAACGAGGTGGGCCGGGGTCCGACCTGCGTGGCACTGGCGGTGGCCACCGAGGCGCACGTGCCCGAGCCGCCCGGGCCGGTGTCGCTGGTGGAGCGCAGCGCGGAGGGAGGTGAGGAGCTGCAGGGCAGGGGGGATGTGGGTGGAAGGGTAGGGGGGAGGATGGGAGGAGGTGGCTCACGCAGGAGCCGCAGGCAGGGATGGAATGGCAGTGGGGTGGCCTCGCTGCGCTGCCCTTTCCTCCCAGTCGTCCACATCTCGGGGGTGCGAGGAGTGCCTGTTCTGGAGGGGTCCTCGTGCGGGCGTAGCCCCTCACAGGGTCGCGTGCCCGCTGGCCGGAAGGGTCGCCAGGACGGTCTCCGATGCCGTCCTGGAGTGGCTCCGCCCATCGGCCCCGGCGTGCCCTGCTGCGACCGACCCCCCCCCCCCCCCCGTCCCGCCTCAGGGCTGTCGCTGGCGTGGGCTGCCCCGCCCCACGACGGCGGCTCTGGCATCACAGGGTATCGATTGGAGCTGGTCTTCGCCGGCTGGCAGGAGGCAGCGGAGGGGAGGCAGCCTGCGCAAGGCATGGGGGAGGGGGAGATGGGGAGTGGAGGGCTGCAAGGGGGAGTGGGCGAGGGGCGCAGACCGCACCAGGTTCCTACCGAGTGCACGGACGCGCGCGCGTCGCATGCCTCGTGCTGCCGCCGTCCTGCGCATGCGAGCCATGCAGGGCCAGGGGACCAGCCCCAGCACCCCATCAGCACCACGCCCGTGGTCAGGACCCCCCCTCTCGGCCCCACCGAATGCGTGTGCAGGCAGCGAGGTCCTGGCATGCGATTCGGGCTCGGCTGTCGTGCAGGCCCTGGAGCCAGGCGCGCTCTTCACGGCTCGCGTCTGTGCGCTGAACGCGCACGGGTCTTCCCCCCACAGCGCGCCAGGTCGGGGGAGGTGGCGGTTGTGGGGCGGGGGGTGGGCAGCTGGTGTGGTCTTGCAGTCCCCGAGTGGGCAGGCCCTGGAAGCCTCGCCAGCGAGCAGGTGCTTGGCCCCCCAGGGCTCAAACGCCAGGGAAACAGCCACGATGCGCACCACAAACCCCTCTCCACACCCAGTCCTACCTGCCCCCCTCTTCCCGCCCACCCCGGCAGTGACCCTGGAGACGGCGCCCGGCAGGCCCGCCGCGTCTCCGATGCCGTCCTGGAGTGGCTCCGCCCATCGGCCCCGGCGTGCCCTGCTGCGACCGACCCCCCCCCCGTCCCGCCCCAGGGCTGTCGCTGGCGTGGGCTGCCCCGCCCCACGACGGCGGCTCTGGCATCACAGGGTATCGATTGGAGCTGGTCTTCGCCGGCTGGCAGGAGGCAGCGGAGGGGAGGCAGCCTGCGCAAGGCATGGGGGAGGGGGAGATGGGGAGTGGAGGGCTGCAAGGGGGAGTGGGCGAGGGGCGCAGACCGCACCAGGTTCCTACCGAGTGCACGGACGCGCGCGCGTCGCATGCCTCGTGCTGCCGCCGTCCTGCGCATGCGAGCCATGCAGGGCCAGGGGACCAGCCCCAGCACCCCATCAGCACCACGCCCGTGGTCAGGACCCCCCCTCTCGGCCCCACCGAATGCGTGTGCAGGCAGCGAGGTCCTGGCATGCGATTCGGGCTCGGCTGTCGTGCAGGCCCTGGAGCCAGGCGCGCTCTTCACGGCTCGCGTCTGTGCGCTGAACGCGCACGGGTCTTCCCCCCACAGCGCGCCAGGTCGGGGGAGGTGGCGGTTGTGGGGCGGGGGGTGGGCAGCTGGTGTGGTCTTGCAGTCCCCGAGTGGGCAGGCCCTGGAAGCCTCGCCAGCGAGCAGGTGCTTGGCCCCCCAGGGCTCAAACGCCAGGGAAACAGCCACGATGCGCACCACAAACCCCTCTCCACACCCAGTCCTACCTGCCCCCCTCTTCCCGCCCACCCCGGCAGTGACCCTGGAGACGGCGCCCGGCAGGCCCGCCGCCCCAGACCGGCCCCGTCTCCTCCGCGCTTCGGGCTCCGATCTGACGATCGGCTGGAGCGCCCCCTACGGGCGGGGCGGCGGCGTGCGCAGCTTCCAGCTCCGCATCGCGCCCGCCGCTGCGTGTCTGCGCCCCGAGAGCCTGCCCGGGGAGCCGCCTCGATGCAGCGCCCAGGCCTACTCCGGCCCCGCCACGTCCTGCACCGGTGAGAAGTGTGTGTGTGTGTTTGCGAGGGGGGGGGGGAGGCGCGTGAAACGGCGCTGCAGCTCGAAGCGGGGGAGGGGCGCTGGGGTGCTGGGTGGCCGAGGCCCGGCAGGGCGCCGCCGTGCTGCACGTTGAGAAAGCCGCTACGCATGCTGGGCCCGCCTCACTCCCCTCCACCCGTCACGCAGTGCCTGACCTGCAGCCCGCGACACCCTACCGCGCCTGGGTGGCGGGCGAGAACGCGGCGGGGAAGGGGGAGTGGTCGGCGCCGCTGGAGTGCCGGACCCAGCCTGTGGGGCCCTCCCCACCCCAGGCCCTGGCTGTGGAGTCGGGTGCGCATTTCAGCCGGGTGGCACGGTCTCGATGGGGTAATCTTCTTTTTTAGGAAACCGCCGGCCCTGCGCCACTCACACCCACCCGACTCCGCTCCACGTCGCGCACAGTCGGCTGCCGCGGCGCCGCGCTGTCCTGGGCGCCGCCTGCGCTGGACAACGGGAGCCCGGTGCTGGGGTACGCCTTGCAGGCGGGGCCCGCTGCTCGCAGGGCCGGCTGGAGACAGGTCCATGTGAGCGATGCAGCTGGAGGGTCCTGCGTCGCACGGGTGCGAGACGAAAGGGCGCGGTGCCTCGAGGGAGTTGTGAATGCACCGGAGAAACGAGTCCGATGGCCTCGCTTTCTTGGGCTGATGGATCCTTCAAGGCTGATGCAGACTCCGGCATGTCGTGAAAATCCCGGCAGGCACGGCTGCATCTGCCTTTTGGATGTTGAGATGCACTCCATGGCACGAAATGCTGCGCCAGGCAGGCTGCAGGTCGATCGTGGTATGCCTGACGCCCTTCCCCCCCCCCCCCCCCCCCCCCCGGTAGGTGACCGGCCTCGATCCCGGCCAGGAATGGGTTTTCCGGGCCAGGGCCTGGAACGAGGCTGGGGAGGGGCCATGGTCGGAGGTCGTCACCCTGGCCCTGCCACCCGACGTGCCAGGTGTGTGACTGTGGGGTACTCAAGTTGGGAGGGGGTTGAAGGCTGTGTCTTTGCATGGTTGGCAGCTCAAGTCGGGAGGAGGAGTGTGGGCCACGGGGCAAGGCGTACTGTGCGGTGCTGCAGAGCACTGTCCCACAGGGCACGCTCGGCATTTGCGTGGAAAGGAAGTGGTTGAGAGCCCGCCCTGCCCCAAAGCCCCTTCTGGCCCAGCCCGGCAGCCGGCAGGGAGTGGCTGGTGATTCTCCGGTCGGCGGCCTGCGATCATCCCGCCTTCCCCCCGACCCAACTCACCTCCCCGCACAGATGCGCCGGCGGGCCCCACCTTCTCCGGCCGCACGGGCACGAGCGTCCGGGTGCAGTGGGAGGCCCCCGCCCACGACGGCGGCTCCGCCATAACGGCCTACGTGCTGGAGGCGTGGCGGCGCGACGGCCTCGCAGGCGCCTGGACGGCCGTGTACTCCGGCCCCGCCACCGCCGCCAAGGTGGCCGACCTGCCCCCCGACACGGAGGTCGCCTTCCGCCTGCGTGCCTGCAGCGCGGCCGGGGCCAGCGCGGCGGGATCGGTGGCCGCCGTGGTCACCGGCCCGCCCCCGCCCCCTCCCCCGCGCCGCGTGGCGGCCGTGGACGATGGCGGCGGGGTCCTGAGGGTGAGCTGGGAGGACGGCCAGGAGGCTGCCGAGCCCAGCACCGCCACAAACAGCGCGGGGCCCCCGCCCTGCACGGGGCACGAGGTTGAGGTCCGGCCGGGCAAGGGGCGGCCGGTGCGGCTGCCGGGCGCGGCGGCCGCCGCCTCGGCGCGCGTCCCGGGCCTGCCGATCGGCGTCCCGCTGACCGTGCGCGTGCGCCGCGTGGGCGGCCGGGAGGCCGGGCACGGGGCTTGGAGCGTGCCGGTGCGGTGCGTGGTGGAGAGCGCCGGTGCTGCGGAGCCGGCGCCGGCCGAGGCGGCCCCGGCGCCGGCTGGGGTCGGCGAGCCAGAGGCCGTGGTGCCGAGGCGCCGGCGCGCGGGCCCCGGCGCCGCCTCCGGTGCGCCGGTCTGCCGAGGGTGGCGGGCTCCGGGAGACGATGGCCGTGGGCTTGGGCATGAGGCACGAGCTGCAAAGGATTGCGCGGGATACAAACCGAAACCCTCTCGTGCTGGCCCACCAGTCGATGCCACCATCACCGACGCCATGCACCCACAGGCATGGCGCTGCGGGTGGGCGCCACCGGGCCCGTGGCCAAGGCCAGGCCCAGGAAGGCCACGATGCTGTCTGGCGTGGCGCGCGCGGCGGGGCTGCGGGAGGCGGACCTCGCGACGGCGGGCTGGGCGCTGGCAATCGCGGCGCTGCTGCTCTCCGCCCTGGGCCTGTGGAGCCGCTCGGACTGAGCGGGGCGCCGCTGGTGGCCTGTGCGGGCGGCCAGCGAGGGGGAGGGGAGGGGGGCCCTCCTGCTGTCAGTTCTCCAGGTGTTTGGTGGAGTGCAGGGACCCGCAGGTGCCTCGCCAGTCGTCCTGCTCAGGATACCTGGGGCCAATCTCAGATCCAGACTGTGTGTGCCTTTGCTCCTTGCTCACCGCCAATGTAGATCCAACCCTCCTGGATGAGGGATTGGCAGGGCTTCACGTGTGGGGATGCCTGGACATAGGCAAGGCCGTGTCGACCACGCGCGCGCGCTGTCACGGCACGGACGACGATGTGGATCGCAACTGCCCCGAGCATTACATGGCTTCATGCCCATCATCGTGCTGCCCTTTCCGCGCACTATCAATGCGGTAGTCACACCATTGCGATCCGCCGATGGCATGCAGGGTGTCGTCATGGCTCCGGCCCCACCACCTGCACCCCCCTCGCCTCGCGGTGCTCGGCAGGTTTCTGCCCGAGCGAGTCCAGCACGAGGCGCATGCGCATGCCAGGGTGACTAGAAGGTTTCACACATGCAGGACGGCCAGCTCAGCGGCTCAGCTGGCCACCGAGCAGCAGGCCACTCCCAATAGCCAGCCAGAGGTACGACACGAACCTGGGGGTGGGGTGTCCAGATGGATGCGCGAGGAGTGCATGCCGTCTTGGAGCACGTGCTTCTCTGCACCCTTATTCAATTTTGGACGTCCCGTCATCCCATGCTGGCAGACCGACTACGAGGCTGTGGTGGGCATAGAGTGCCATGTGCAGCTGAACACGCGGACCAAGGCCTTCTGCGCCTGCCCCAATCAGTATGGTGGGGAGCCCAACAGCCACATCTGCCCCGTCTGCCTTGGACACCCGGTGCGTGTTTACCTGGTGCCTTTGAATTGACAGCATATGGAAGAGGAGGAGGTGGAAGGGGGGCATCCACAATCTCCGCAACGAGCTGGACACTGCTCCACGGATGTGCCATCCAACTGCTCCAAACGCTGTGCCGCTCGTCTGCAGCATCCCACCGTGCTCCCACACAGCTCCCGCTATCATACTACTCCTAGAAACCACCTCAATGCCTCCCCCTCACACACAACCAGGGCACCCTCCCTGTGCTCAACGCAGCCGTGGTGGACAAGGCGGTGCTGACGGGGCTGGCGCTGGGCTGCAGCATCGCGCGCCACTCCATCTTCAGCCGCAAGCAGTACTTCTACCCCGACCTGCCCAAGGGGTACCAGATCTCCCAGCACGACACCCCTCTGGCTTATAATGGCAGCCTGGAGATTGATGCTGGGGACGGCACCCGGCGCCGCATCGGCATCACGCGCGTGCACGTGGAGGAAGACGCTGGGAAGCTGGTCTACGTCGGTGCCCAGGCACTGACGGGGGCCGCCTCTGCGCAGGCGGACTACAACCGGGCGGGCGTACCGCTGCTGGAGGTGGTGTCCGAGCCCGACATGCGCAGCGGGCAGGAGGCGGCGGCCTACGGCGCCGAGCTGCGCAGGCTCCTGCGCTACATCGGCGTCAGCAACGGCAACATGGCGGTGAGGAACATCAAAGGAGGGCGAAAGGGGAGGGGCGGGGGGGGGTGTCCGAAGATGAGGCGGGTGCGAGAGTGGAAGGGAGGGATGCTGTGGCATGGACGCTGGGATGGTGGAGCCTTGAAGTTTCGGCCAGCGCAGTCCGCTGCCCACCGACCAAGCACCACTCAACCCCGCCCCACAGGAGGGATCGCTACGCTGCGATGTCAATGTGTCGGTGCGGCCCCGGGGCACGACTGCACTGGGGACCAAGGTGGAGGTGAAAAACCTCAACTCCTTCAACTCCGTCCAGCGCGCCATACAGTTTGAGATCGAGCGGCAGGTGGGTGGGTGAAGGAGGACGAGGAGGAGGTGACTGTCAGAGGGAGGGCTGCCCGGCTTGGATGGGCTGCCAGGATCAATGGAAGGCTAGCAATGTCCATCTGGTTGGCCATCTCGTCAGTCCGGCAGGGACCCAAAAGGCATCCCCTCTCTTCCATCCTCCGACCGCCCTTCAGGTCACCGCGCTGTCCTCAGGCGCTGAGCACGAGGTGGTGGTGGAGACACGGGTCTGGGACGAGGCGGCGGCGAGGACGCGCACGATGAGGAAGAAAGAGGGGCAGGCTGACTACCGCTTCTTCCCCGAGCCAGACCTTCCTCCCTTGGAAGTCTCTGAGGAGACCATCGCAAGGATACAGGTGAGGCGTTGTCTATGGGGTTAGACACGAGAGCGGTGGTGCGGCCTGCAGGCTACTTGATGTCTCCCTTTCACCCCCTCGCCGCCCAAACCCGCCCCTCCCGCAGGCGAGCATGCCGGAGCTACCGCAGGAGAAACGGGCGCGCTTCGAGGGACTGGGCCTGTCTCCTTACGACGCTCATGTCCTCTGTGACGACCTGGCGGTCGCCGGCTACTTTGACGCGGCGTTGGAGGCGGGGGCAAGCCCCAAGCCAGCGGCTAACTGGATCATGGGCGACATCATGGCACACTGCAAGGTGGGCACGGGCATCAAGGGCTGGTGCATGGGCGAGATGGTGCTGCATCAACGGCTTCTCAGCAGTCTTTCGCAAAGTGTGAAACAAGAAGAGCAGTTACAGTGCACAGGCACCTATACTTATCCATATGGATCTGCTCCAGGCTGCAAAACAGTTGCACTCCTACCCACCCACTCATGTCCTCCCCGACGCCTACACACCCAGGAGGCCCACCTCGGCATGGACGATCTCCTCCTGACACCTACAACCCTGGCCAAGCTCCTGGGCCTGATTGAGAAGGGGACCATCAGCGGCAAGATTGCCAAGGATCTGCTGCCAGATCTCCTGCAAGGCAAAGGTAGAGTGTGCAAGAGGTTTACTTGGTGGCTTGGCTGGCTGAGCATTGGGCAACCTTCATTGTTGAGTAGCTGGGCTGTTGAGTTCAGCTCGTTGTCTTCTATGGTTGAAATCATCCATATCATTCGCTTGTTTTGGGTTGAATAAACATTGGAGTCACCACACCCTGGTTCAGGGAGCGGAGATCTCCTGGCCTACGTCGAGGCCAAGGGTCTCATACAGATCAGCGATGAAGGCGCCCTGCTCGACATCATCAACAATGTCCTGGAGTCGAACTCAAAGCAGCTCGAGCAGTACAAGCAAGGTAGGGGGTTTTGGAGGGGAATCGGTAAGGGTAGGCGTCGTACAATGCTGGGAAGTCGTGCAACATGATAGCGAACTCAACCCAGGCTCGTCACATATTTGGCCTGGGGGATTGGAGCCACTCCCTACATCGTGCACCTCAGTTAAAGGGCGCGGTACCTTGATCCAAACTCTACCCTCAAACCTGCAGGGAAGACAAAGCTCCAGGGTTTCTTTGTGGGGCAGGTAATGAAAGAGTCCAGGGGCCGAGCCAACCCAGGGGAACTCCAGCGTCTGCTCATGCAGCGCCTCGCCGAGGAGGCAGGCCAATGAAGCCGGAGGGAGGCCTGGTCTCATGTTACCCTTGCATCCAGGTGTGTCCCAAGTCCAGTCAGTAAGTCGGCAGAACAAGGAAAACATGTGCAATGATCGGCGCAGACCTTGTTTGGAGGACCTCTCTCCGATTACAGGCGATGATGTTGCGCCCCTGGCCAGATCACCGCCGAGCACAGGCACGGAAACCTTCACGGCTTCAATGCAGCCGGTGTGAATCCAAGCCAGCATCATTCCCTTGCAAGCAATCTACAAAGGGATTGGGGCTCCTTCTCCCCGTGTCCGTGATTCGACCCACGATGCGAAAGTGATCGCTTCCATGGGTGACCCAGCCCGGGCCCGCGCCTGGCTGGCGGACATATGGAGCCCCGCGGTCATGGTGGTGGCCAGCCCCGAGACGGATGCGGCATGCCTGGCGAGCACGGGCCTCACGGTGGTGGAGCTGCTCCGTCCCTTTGGCGTGATACCCCACCTGAACGGCACTGTCGGGGGTGAGCGGGGGAACCGGCTCATCCCAAGTCCAGGGACGAATTCGCAAGGGTTGCCTTGGGGGAAGAAGAAGGAATACTGGCTGCTTGATGGATCGAGTCCCTCCCTGCCTGGCTGGTAGCCCCTCATGCTCCCCCCGCTGGCCCCCTAACCCTCAGTCCCCATCCGGACTGCGGCGGAGCACCCCGTCAGACTCCACTCCTGGCGCCTGCGCTTCTACGCCCCCCAGCACATGTTCCAGCCCAGCCCGGCGGCAGCAGACGCGCACCTGCGCGGTGTGCTCAGCGCTGCCGCCGCAGCGGGAGTGATGAGCCCGGTCCCCGACCTGGACACTCTGATCCATGCAGGTGAGGGCCTTGGGCGGGTCGTGCAGCAATTCCGGCATCGTGCTGCGCTTCACTGGGGCCAGTGGCAAGGCCGCAGACCAGACCTCAAGTCTCGGCGCTCATCTGAGGGCGCTACACGTCGGCAACCCATTGATCGTAGTCAGGCAACCCCCAAACCATGCAACGCTGCAGGGAGTGTGAGCGAGGCGGCGCCCTGGTTTGAGGTCTACCGCACCGAGTTCTTCCGCATGATGGCCTTTGGCGAGCACGAGACGATGGACCACCCCGTGGCCTGTGAGCTGGGAAGGGTGGCGTGCAGGACTCAGGGATGGCGTGGGAAGGAATGGCACAGGTGTCCCACACAGCAGCACCACAGGCTGGCATGCTGCACCGGCATTGCAGTGGCTTGGGATGGTGTTGTCTGCTCTGCAGGCCCTCCTGTTTGCGCGCTGAAGCTCCTCTCGAAGCCCAAGCATGCGGCAAACCCATGCTGCACTCCCCTCGCCCTGATTTGACTTCTTCTTCATACGACCCCACCCCCCTGCCCATCACCCGCAGGCTTGCTGGTCGTGCCTTCTACACACAGGGGCGGCATGGGGGCTGCCTTCGAGGAGCTGTACGCCCGCGCGCCCCTGCCCCCCCTCATGCGCTCCGGCGCCATGGAATCCTCCCTCCTGCGCCTCCACCTCGTCCTGCATGACGCCCGCGCCAGCAGCGCAGAGGACCTGGAGAGGTAGGCGATGTCGGTGGCTGGGAGGAGGGGGGAGGGGGGTGAGTCGTGGCCACTTGACTAAGGTGCCGGGCCAAGGGACCCCAAGCCCCTGCCTGTCTGCTTGTACTGGGCGCTCTTGGCATCGTATCAGTAAAGTATCCGAGGCAGTCCCCTGTCAAACCCCACCCATCCCCCCCGCCTCACCCGCAGGGCTGAGATGGAGCTGAGGGGCGTGAGTTCCCAGCTGGGCAGCGCATGCCAAATCCTGACGATCAACCACGGGTCCGAGGAGACCCCCGTCATGGACCCGCGCTTCTGGATCTCCTCCATGGAAGGTGTGTGTGTTCATGATGGGGGGTGCGCTTGTCAAGAGGATATAAAAAAGGGGCGCTCTCATGACACCCATCCTTGCGTGCGTCGTTTATACTGGCATTGCTTGATGCTGGCAGTTATTTGGTCAAAAGGAATGTCCCCCCCACCCCCCCACCCCCGTTAACACCTACAGAGACGCTGCCCGGCGGGGGCGCCGGGGAGCCGCCCTCCCGCACGCCCACCCCGGCTGAGGGCCTGGGCCGGCGGCTGGCCCCGCGCGACGTGGAGGCGCTGGGCGACTACGTGCGCGAGGCGGCGGTGCGGGTGCTCATCCCGCACCTGGAGGCGCGCATCCGCGGCCTGAACGCGCACGTGTCGGACGCGCGGCGCGGCCTGCGGAACCAGCTCAAGTCGCTGCTGTGGCGCGGCGCCAGCGCGGGGGGAGGGGCGGCCGCCGCGCCCGCCTCGCCGCGGCTCCGCGGCGAGGGCCCCAGCCCACGCGACCAGGGCGACCTGTCGGGCGCCCGCGGCGGCGCCCCGCCCCCGCTGTACCCCTCGGGGTCGTTGGTGCACCGCATGCGCAGCCTGGCGGACCTGGCGCTGATGCTGGGGGACGTGGACGGCGCGGCCTCCACGCTGCGCCTGCTGGCCGCCGACCTGAAGGCGGACCGCGCCTTCCGCCACTACGCGGGCGCGCAGGAGGCGCTGGGCGTCTGCGCCGCGCTCTCCGGCGCGCCCTCCGCCGAGGTCAACGCCTGCCTGCGCGAAGCCTTCTACCGCCACTCCCAGGGCGGCGGCGGGGCAGCCGGAGCCAGGAGCAGCAGCGCGGCGCCGGGCGCACCCGGGCCCGCCCCGGAGCGACAGGGTGTGCGGTACGCTACGCGCGCTGCGCTGATGCTGACCGAGTACTGCCGCGGCGCGGGGCTGCACGGCGACGCCGTCTGGATCCTGATGAAGGCACACTACAGGGCGAGTGGCGACGGCGGGGGTGGACGTGTGTGGAGGGGTGGAGTGAGCCTGCCGGAAGCTGGGAGGTGGGGCCAGGAGTGCTGAGGCATACTCCACAGAACCCCCCTCCTCAGGCCCTGCTGAAGGGGCTGGCATGCCCTCTCTCCCTCCTTCCCCAAGCTCTCATCCTCCCCTTCAACACACATGCCCGCTCACCCACCCCAACGCGTGCAGGAAGACAACACCGGGGCGGGGCTGCTGCTGGAGCAGGCTGCGCACTCCCTGCTGCGCCTGCAGCCGCCGCGAGCGCGCAAGTTCGCCTTCCACCTGGTGCTGGCGGGGCTGCGGTACGGCGCCTGCGACCAGGATGGCCTGGCCCAGCGATGCTACAGGTGGCCAGGGGTATTGATGGGGTGGGAGGGCGGGGCACTCGGAGGGTGGCCCGGCGAGGCTCCCAAACGAGAGCCTGTGCTGTGCCGAGCCGCGATGCGCGGGCGTGCTGGGTTGAGATGCCCCGCTGCAGGACCACGAGGAGGGGCACCGGACATGGCGGTGTGTGTCCCGGGTCAGGCAAGGTGCAGGTGGTGCAGGATGATGGGAGCCGCGTGGATTAGTGGCATCACATCATCCCATTCCTCCAACTTCCGCCCCGCCGTCGTAGACAAGTGCTGGAGGTGTACCGAGGCAAGGGCTGGGGCCTGGTGGAGGAGCACCTGCACGATGTGCTGGGCCGGTACGCCAGGTAGGCTTGCTTCCGGCTGGTTTGTTCATCCCCGGGAGAGGGGTCGGGGCCATGGGGCAATCTTTCCACAGGGGTTTGGTCGCTGGGCGGTGCGTGGGTGCAAGCGTCCAGGGACCTGATGTCGTTGCCGAGCCGCCTCTGATCCCTCCCTTTCCACTCGCCCATCCTTCCACAGGGAGCTGGGCGACCTGGCCTCCGCGGCGCGCTGCCACGCCGCCTTGCTCGGCGCGCAGCGCAGCGGGCCCGGCACGCAGCGCTCCCACCTCGACCAGCTGTACGACACCGTCAGGCTGGCTGCCGCCAAGGAGGTGGGGCTTGGCGAAGGGGGAAAGGGTGCTCTGGCGGTGGAGGCTGGGGGGAGTGGGACGGCGGACAGGCCACGGACTGCTCTCGCAGACGGGACGTGGGTGGGACGAAGTCGAAGGGCGCCGCCGCTCCGGGGTCCCCACCAGGGCCATCCGGCCGGGAGGGCCACGACAGTGGCGGTACACCTAGAGCGGCGGGGCAACTGTATCTCATTGCACTCCCACCCGACCCACCCCTGCCGCAGGTGGCGCTGCCCCCGCTGGAGCTGCCGCTGCCTGAGATGGACCTGGAGCGCCCCGGCCTCGTTTTCCAGGGTCAAACCTGGTACGGCAACGCCGCTGCGCGGCAGGCCCCCGCCGAGCTGTGGAGGCCACTTGAGCGCGCTGTCGTCGGGGACGTGCGGGAGGCGGGGCCCTCTTGGCTGGACGGTGCGTGAGCAGGAAGGGGGAACGGGATGAGCAGACCAGGGCGCTTCAGGGGACAAGCTGTGGCTCGTGATGATCAATCTGCCCCGTACACGCGAGGGGGGGAAGGCACCATGATTCACGTGCCCTGCTGCCCGTCATCGACTGGCATAGGGTGCGGCCTCGAGCATCTCCTCAGACTGCACACCCATCCAGACAGAATCCCGAACAACCTGCCCGTCGGCCATACCTACTCCCTTTTGGACCCGCCCCGCCCCCACCCCTCCCAAACACCCACATGCAACAGGGGCGGCGCCGCAGCGCGCGCAGCGCCGCGTGCCTGTCTGCTGCGTGGGCGAGCCGGTGAGCATCGACCTGAGGATCAGCAACCCGCTGTCCGTCGACCTGGAGGTCAGCCGCCTGCGGCTGGTGTGCCGGCTGGAGGCCGGGGCGGGTGCCGCGTCATCGGCCCCCGGCGCCACGTCAGGCTCGCGCCCAACCGACGTCGCCGATGGGGTCGAGGTGTGGGAGGAGCGTCTGCGCCTCCGCGCCGGCGAGGCCACCGTGGTCTGCCTGCGCGCGGCGCCGCGGCGCCGCGGCACGTTGCACCTGGACGCCGTGGCCTGGACGCTGGACGGCGCGGCGGACGGGCTGCGCCCGCTGGCGGTGCGCCAGCCCCTGCCGCTCAAGCCCGGGACGGGCGCGGTGTGCATTGACGCGGCGCGGCCCCCGGCCGCCGGCTTCCGGCTCGAGGTCGGGCCGGCGCTGCCCTGCCTGGAGCTGGCGCTGGAGGGCCTGTCGCCCACCTGCCTGGCCGGCCAGGTGGCGCTCGCCACGCTGCGCCTGCGCAACGCCGGCGGCGTCCCCCTGGCCGGCCTCAGGCTGGCGGGCGGGGCAGGGTGGCACCTCGCCGGCGCCGTGCCCGCGCCGGGAATCGACGGCCGCGCCCTGAGCCTGGGCCAGCGACTGCTGGTGTCGTCCGAGGCGGGCGACTGGGCCGCGGGCGGTGTGACGGAGGGTGCAGAGCCCGTGCAGGCGCCGGGGCCGCCGGCACTGAGGGGCCAGTCCGCACTCAAAAACCTGGCCTGGACGCTGGTCCCCGGGACCCCCGCCCGGCTCTACTCCGCGCCCGAGGTCCAGCTGGCGCCGGGGGAGGAGCTGAGCCTGCCCTGCGTCATCAGGTATCGAACGATGGTGCATGCGGGGCGGGCCAGGGGGCTCGCCAGGTCCTGGGTGGGGATGCCAGTCTGGGAGCTCCTGAGCCTGGCTGGGCTGAAGCCGCCGGGACCGGGGGCCTGGGGCGCCGTGGGGAGGGCGCGCCAGGGCACCCAGCGTCGTGGAGCTGTGGGCCACCCTTGCGGAAGGGCGACCGGATCGAACTTCCCAGCTGAAGACCGTTCCATGTTGATTCCGTGTCAGACACCCCTCCACCTACAAAACAACAACAACACCCTCAGGCTGACGCGGCCCGGCCCGCGCTTGCTGTGCATCGCGGCGTCGTACCGTGTGGCCGGCGGCGCCGTGCAGGGCGCGGCGCAGCGCTCGACGCGCTGCGCCTTTGAGACGGTGGTCCAGCCGTCGCTGCAGCTGTCGGCCGCCGTCGCGGCGGGGACCTGCGAGCCGGGGGCCGCGCTGCTGCAGCTGGGGGTAGTCAACCTGCAGGGCCTGGAGGCCTTCGAGCTGCACCGGCCGCGCTGCCCCGGCTGGACCTCCAGCGACAGGGGCGGGGGGTTGGAGGGCGGGGCGCACGGCGACGCCGGGGATAGCCCCGCCGCCCCGCCGCCACGAGTGGACGAGCTTGCGGCGGGGGGCGCCGTCACGCGGCACGCCTGGCTGCGCCGGCGGGATCCGGCGCGGCCGCTGCCGGCCGACTGCGACGTGGTGCTGCCCTGGTTGGCCGCGAAGCGGGCGGGGGCGGGCGCGAGACGCGGGCTCTCCGCCGTGCCGCGCCAGTTGTGAGTGGCGACGGGGAGGGGAGGGGGAATGGAGAGGATGGGGGGGCGCCGCACGGCGCACACGAGGGCTCAGCGTCGTTGCAGCACCGGCTCACCCGTGCATGGCGCGACGCTCTCGTCCAGGTCCACTCTACCGCCTCGAAACCCTGTCATTCAAACATGCACACATGCCCACTAACCAGAGCGAGTATCCTTTCCCACAGGGTCAGGCCGGGCCCGAGGATCCACGCCCTGCTGGCCCCGGCCGCGCCCGGCCCCGCGACCCACCCGGGTTTCCAGGAGCAGCCGCTGTGCCGGGTACCCCTCGTGCTGCGCCTCTGGACCACGGCCCCAGCGCACGTGGTGGTGGAGCTGGGCGGGGCGGCGGACGAGGCCGAGGGCGCTGGTCAAGGGGGAAGCGGGACGGCGGCGCCGGCCGCCCCGCTCGCGCACGTGTGGGCGGGGCGGACGCGGCGCGCGCTGGGTACGCTGCGGGCCTGCTCCGAGCTGGAACTGGAGCTGGAAGTCCTGGTGTCCAGGCCGGGGAGGCACGCCCTGGCCGACGTGAGTCTGGCCTGGGGCCAGCCCGGTGCCCGGCAGCTGGACGGAAGCCGGCCCGTGCCGGGCTGCCTGATAGAGGTGGTTGAGGCGGGCCCTGGGCCTGGCCGACAGGGGTTGCAATGAATGTAACGCCACCTTCTGGGACAGGTCCGTGGGCCCCGGACGCCTCCAGATCAATTGTCAAGGGTATGAGATGTGAGTCCTCGAGCCGTACATGAAGCGATGCGGTCGACCGGGCCCCGATCCCCGTGCCGCAACCCCGCAAGCCTGGCGATGTATTTGTTTCTTAAGACATTGCGCGCCGAGGGCTGCATTGTAGCGTGCAATGAAGCACGACAGGTGCCCCGGTCGTAACCGGAGCTGCTGCGCGCACAGCTGTGTACTTCTGTTCTGGAAAGGCTGCGCGTCCGCGACCCGGGCCGGCTGACGCGGCCCCTGGGCATCGCCTAATCGAGATGAAAGGCTTAATCTGACGCAGAAAATGATCTCCGGCACCCTTGAAACACGATCTGGGCCTCCACAAACATTATAATCATTGCATTTTACGCCATCGCGACGTCTGCTGGCCGCTCGACATCGCTCTCGTCCGTCTCCTAGCCACAGTCCACACTCTCGTTGCAGCGCAAGCTCACGATGGCCACCGTCCATCAGTCCAAGAACAGGTCCGATCTGGACAGCAATGAGCTCCTCCTGGAGCGTCTCGACAAGATGACCACCATCATGGCGGCATCGGCACAGGGTCACTACCGCCGGACCTACCAGGCATTGTGAGTGTGGCTTCCTTGCTCCAGTACCGGGGCATGCTGGCAGACAGTCTCAGCTCGCTGATGCGCAGTTTTGCATGCCCCGACCAGTCTGAGTGTCGGCCTCGAACATGGCCAGCCTCCAGCATGTCGGAGCAATTCTTCCCCCCTTCCTTCCACAGTGACATTGCCAGCCCCGGCCCCTTGGCCTTCTTCAGTTTTGCCATCGCGACTGGTGAGTCGGGGGCACAGTGAGGAAGGAGCGGGGAAAAGCAGATCGGGGAGGATGTTGACTTGAGTCTGTCAGATTTACGATGTCTGACCCTGAGGCATATTCAAGCATGAAGTGGACCCTTCCTTGCAGACTGAAGAGTGCCAGGATATCAGGCCAAGACGCGCAGCTCCCCCGCCTTCCCCTCTCAGCCCCAGTCCCTCCCGTCTCCACTCGACAGGCATGCAGGGTCTGGTATACACCGGGACTCTGGAGGTGCAGGGCTCCCAGCTGGTCCTGATTGTCGGGTGAGTATGACGCGTGAGCTCGCCCACCTCACCCACTGCCCATTCCAGCCGCTCGTACTTGTCCAGCCTGGAGTCCTTCCTGTGGCGCTTTGCATGGGCCCTCACCCCACCCCTCCCCCAACCCACCCTCGCCCCACCCCAAACCCACCCCTACCAAATGACTTTCCACATCGCCGGCCAGCTCTGACCCCCCCATCCCGCCTCCCTCCCAGGCTCTTCATCGGCGGGTTCCTCATGTTCATCTGCGGCTTCATGGAGTTCCTGCGCCGCAACACCTTTGGCGCCACCATGTTCACGCTCTTCGGCGCATTCTGGTTCACCCTGACCATCTACAACCTGCTCTTGTTTGCCGGCGTGGCCACTTTCATGCTCACTGCCATGCCCAAGACCGTGGCCTGCCTGGCTGGCACCCTGGGCTTCATCACCGCCGTCATGGCCATTGTCGTGGCCAACCTGACCCTGGCCGTCGCCACCGCACAGGGCCTCCTGGCCCTCTTCCTCATCCTGCTGGCGGCGGCGCAGATGAACCCCGCCAACCACACCCTGCTCAAGGTGGGGGGCGCCTTTGGTATCATCACCGCCATAGCCGCCTTTTATGTTGCCATGGCCCTGAGCTGCGAGGAGGTGCTGGGCCAGGAGATCCTGCCCATGCTCTACTCCAAGAAGTTTAAGATGCACGCCGGCAACCTGTACCCCCGGATCTCCCTGTCTGACCCCCTGGCGCTGTCGGCCGGGGTGCCCTACGAAGGACGCTACGAGATCCACAAGGGCGACAATGTGGCCGCCATGCAGCAGCCCTCCTTGGTGGACCTGAACCGCATCCAGGCGGACCAGAGGGTGTGAGAGCGCTGGAGACGGGCCCCTGGGCCCTGCCAAAACCCCATTTTGGACCCATAGTTTTGTCAGCGCCGGGTGGATGGACACACCACCCCAACATTTTGTCAGAATCCCGATCAGGACGGGGGGCGAGAGGCCCCCACTCCTCACCTCCCACACAGCATGCCACCGCCCTGTCCCCCAACCCATGCATTGCATCAAACCCACTTTCTAATGAACTCATCCGGTCGTCGTAGTGTGTAACCAAAGTGCTTTTCCACCAATGGCAGAGAGGCGCCAGCTGGTGGAGTACCCCGCGGAGAGGTTGAGGGGCAGCATGCTGGGCCACCACCCTGGCCGACCAAGCATCCCTTTGAAGGCGTTGAATCGACCTCGGCAGTACTTTCTGCGCTGACCCGGGGAGAGGGGGCGGGGGGGGGTGCCACGCCCCGGCGGAATAAGAGAAATGCGTCTCCGGTCGAGAGTCGCCAGGGGCGATCCTGCCCAAACCACACCGGAGCCTCCACGTGCAGAGCTTCCGGCCAGCTCCGTACACGCCCGGATGGCCGGGGCCGCGCTCACAGACTCGGCACTTATAATGCGCCAGCCCTGCCTCCTCAACCACAGACCTTCCTCAAGAATTCTCTGCGGAGGATATATTTGCAGGATCATTCTTTGGTCGAGTACAGGTGCCGGGTCCTCATGGGCTCCCGCGCATGTTTCGTGGGAGGACTTGTCCTGCTCCTCGCAGCCCTACTCGGCGCACAGGTGGGAGCGAAAAAAGTGGGGAGAGGGCAACCCAGGAAGTTTGTACACATTGTCCACTGCGACAATGCAATTATTCTCACTCATGAACCGATCGTGTCCTCCCTTCATCGCAGACGGCATACGGCGCGGACTCATCTTCTGTGCTCCAGAAACCATCAGACCACGCTGAAGGCCACGTGCAGAGTCCGAGCTCGAGCTCCCACCACGGGCATGACACCGTGGTCTCTTCGCAGACAGCTTCATCTCCTGGCGTAAAGGGAGCGGATAAAGCTCCCTCCCAGGAGAAAAAACCTGCCCAACCGAGGAAGCTGTCGCCGGGCCCCCTCCGGCAGAGCCCTTCCAGTGGTCAGAAGAAGGAGAGCAGCCCTCTGACGGCCTCCAAAAAGAAGAGCCGGGCCTCCCCCTCCAAGAAGAACCCTGCCCCCGCACTCAAGGATGACGGGCCGCCATCAGACGTGACGGTCAGCGTGACCATGGCAGCCTGCCAGGCGGTGGGGAAGGAGTATTACTGCACGGGCCACGTCGCCCTGTCGGAGAGCCTCACCCAGGGTACCGTCGGGCTGGTGTGGGACGTGGACGGGAAGACCATGGAAGGCACCACCATCCCGGCGTCGGGGAGCACGGCCTCGCACACCGACGGCCCCTTCCCCAGCGCGGCGAGCGGGGTGGTGGCATCCTACGCCGGCCCCGGCAACGAGGACGTGGAGTTCTCCAACATGGCCCCCGTGCCGTTCCACGTTCCCCCTCCCCCCTCCCCCCCTCCCCCTCCCCCGCCCTCCCCCCCCCCACCTTCGCCACCGCCCTCCCCGCCGCCACCGCTGCCGCCGCCGCCGCCGGTCAGCATCGTGATCGAGGCGGCGTACTGCGTCGACTCCATCAGCTCCTTCGACCCGCAGGACTACGCGGACTGCACCATGGTCCTCTCCGGCGACTTTGAGGAGGGGGCGGGCGAGCTGTCCATCGGCTACTTCTCGGAGAGCCGGGCCACGGCCGACACGCGGGACGTGATCCCCAGCGGGAGGAGCATGTCCGTCACCAGGACCCAGATGTTCCACCTGGGAGCGCTGACCGCAGCCGGGGTGTGGTACACCGATGCCACTGGCAAGAAGTTCGCCGGGGTCACCGTGTCCCTGCCGCACAACCAGCCCCCCGTCTCGCCGCCACCCTCCCCGCCGTCCCCGCCGCCGCCGCCGCCCTCCCCACCCCCGCCTTCGCCACCGCCCTCCCCGCCGTCCCCGCCCTTCCCGCCGCCGCCCGAGGGCGTGGTGTCGGGGGTGTGCCAGCACCTGGATGACTCCACCATCTCGTGCAAGGTGGAGATCAGTGGACCCTTCCAGCCCGAGGTCGGCATCTTCAAGCTCACGTACTACTATGAGCACCAGAGGAACAGCGTGAATGGCCCACCCTTTGTTCCCCAGGGCTCCCTCACCACCGAGGTGGAGACGCTGGCCAATGCACCATACGCCGTCTCGGTCCAATACACCGGAGTGGATGGGAAGACCAAGTTCTACACGGCCTTCAGCCTGTCCTACACCAACTCGCCGCCGCCCGCATCCCCTTGATACCCCTGCATCGCCAGAACTTGCTCCTTTCTCTGCCAATATCACCCTTCATTTTCATACTCAGCCCCTTTCCTACATCATTTGATAGATACTCCCTGCCTGTGACTTGCAGACTGCCCCATCCCTAATATCATTGGGAAACTGTAAACAATTGTATGCGACAGAAAATGAGCGTGAGTGCGGGTTGGCAGCTGGCATACAGCAGCCTTTGACATGTTGATCATCCGTCTTTGACTGCAACTAGGACCTCGTGGATCTTCCTTCAGGTGACTCCAGTGCACAATGGCGACATGCGGGTCATGCACACAAGTTTGCGCCTCCACACGCCTGATTATCGATTGCAAGGCTATGCTTGCGCTGTGAGAATATTTCATACAACGCACGACCCAGCCTTGCGCCGTATCCTGGAGCAAACCCTCAAGCAAGCCCTACGATCCTGGGCTGACTTTTGAAGACCTCACGGCTGCGATTCCCTCCCCCTGCCGAGCCGGATTTGAAAACAAACAAGTGATTCCCCTGGCTTCAGCGACGGCGAGCGGTCCTGCGGTTGATCCTGATCTCCAGGTTCGTGGATCGCGTGCTCTCGCCGTGCTGCGCTCGATCTCAGGCCACGAATTTGAATTCTGCGCACTATACGCTCCGTTCGCTGCACACCCCGGGAAACGACCCTCCCTCCACAGCATACAAAAGCGTCGTCATCCCACACCGCGATGGCGGGGAAGAGGGGTGCCGCTACTCGTGCCAGAGCAGGCAGAGTCGGAGCAACAGAAGCTGCTCCCAGTGGAAACGGAGGGAGTGAGCAGGACGCCTCATCAGCAGGCAACGCAGCAGACGAAAGGGTGTCGAGGAGCCAAAATGGGGAGGCGAACCCCAGCCCTGCGACCAAGCAGCCTACACCCCGGCCCAAACCTGTGGCTGAGGAGGGCTCCTGTCACGCCTCAGAAGCGACCGAGTTCTACGTCCCTGCCGACGTGCTGGAGGAGGAGGAGAGGCTCAGGATTGCGCGAGAGGAGGCGGAGAGCAAGGTGCGCGCCCGCCAGATAGCAACGGGGTGCCTGACGGAGTGTGCAGGCTGCCAGCCAGTGCAGGGTGGGATGGCTTCCACCACCCTGCCCCACCAGCCGTGCACCCCCACCAACAGACCCCTGGCTGCTGTGAACCTGCACCTGACACCGTGCCCAGTGTCAAGGCGGCAGGCGGTTGGCACATGGAATCACGCGCCCTCTCTTTCCTCTCCGTCGCTGCAGCCCAAGGCCGCTCCCGTCGAGCTGGTGCTCGGCAACGAGTCCTTCAAGGCCCTGGAGACGCTGCTGAACAAGTCGCAGCTTTACACCCAGTTCCTGGCGGAGAACATGGCCAGTGCCGAGACGGAGCAGCTCGAGTCGGAGGCCAAGGCCCCAAGCCCGGGAGAGGGCGACGGCCCGTTGGGGAAGAAGCGCAAGGCTGCCGGGCGCACAGGCGGCGCCAAGAAGAAGGCGGGCAAGGCGGCTGCGGCGCCCTCTGCGGCCCAGGTGACATAGCGGGGAGGAGAACATGGCAGAGGCCTGTTGTGGTATGCCCAGTGGCATGTTGAACCCACTGTGGCACTCTTCCTCCACTCAGGCTGTTGTCACAAATTTTCACACGCACCTAGCCCCCACCACGGGGCACTCCCTGCGGACGCCAGCCCCTCTCCCACCACCCTGCCTTTCCTCCTCTCCCAACACCCTACACATCTCCCTCTCCCAACACCCTACGTCCCCCCCCTCTTCCCTCCCCCTGCCACAGGAGCTGTGCCCCGGCCTGGTCGGCGAGCTGCGGGACTACCAGCTGCGCGGCATCCGCTGGCTGGCCTCCCTGTTTGTCAACGGCATCAACGGCATCCTGGCGGACCAGATGGGCCTGGGCAAGACGGTGCAGACCATCGGCATGCTGTGCCACCTGCGGGGCAAGGCCATCCTGGGGCCCTACCTGGTGCTGGGCCCCCTCTCCACCCTGCACAACTGGGTTTCCGAGTTCCAGCGCTGGGCGCCAGACTTCCCGGCGCTCCTCTACCACGGCTCCAAGGCCGAGCGCGCCCAGCTCTGGTCCACGCGCCTCAGCAGTGAGTGGGCCGGGAGGATGAGCAGGTGGTTGTCAGTGAATGACGGGCCGGAGTGGGAAGGTGCGATACCCACACCTGTTGTAGAGCGCGACTGATGGCTCCTCAGGAATGGCTCTCAATCGATGCGAGGTCTGTGTCGGCAGATAGAGCCCACGGGCCCTATCTGCCTGGCGCGTTGTCATCGTCCCGGGCACGAGGCCCCGGACCCCGGGATTCCCAGTTTGCTGTCCCCCACCCCCACTGCAGAGCCAGTGGATGGGAGCTTCCCGGTGGTCGTTACCTCTTATGAAATCCTGCTGGCCGACATCCGCAACTTCCAGAAGGTGTCCTGGAAGTACCTGGTGGTGGATGAGGGGCACCGCCTGAAGAACCACAACTGCCGGCTCATCCGCGAGCTGCGCACGCTGCGGGTAGACAACAAGCTGCTCCTGACGGGTGCGAAGGGTATGGTTGGGTGGGCGGCCTAGGAGCACACAAGGGCAAGGTTGCACTGTGGGGCTTCAGGGGAGGGGCGTCTATTTGGGAGGGCCTCAGATCGCTGTCCGGTTGCAAGCATGCCCTTTGTATGGCAGGCAGGCTTGCCACGGCCTGGTGCGAGGACGTGCCCATCAACAGGCCCACAGGCACCTGCCCCTGGTGGCCGGGACCGGACGATCCACTTCCGCCCATTTCTCCTACGCATAGGCACGCCGCTTCAGAACAACCTGACGGAGCTCTGGTCGCTGCTCAACTTCATCCTCCCCGAGGCCTTCTCCTCCCTGTCAGACTTTGAGTCGTGGTTTGAGTCCATGGCCGACGCCGGCGGGCAGCAGGAGGACGAGGTCCGGCAGCAGACAGCAAAGGTGGGCTCAAGTGGTGGTGGTGCGCTGGGCACGCTGCACGCGTGGGCGAGGCAGCCGTGTGCCGCACAGACCGGGGCGCGGGTGGGAGTCAGCTGCCCTGGGGCCATGAGATCCTGCTCCTGTTGGCACTCTCCCATCCTCTCTCCCGCCCAAACTCGACAGGTGGTGGAGAAGCTGCATGCCATCCTGAAGCCCTTCCTCCTGCGCCGAGTGAAGAGCGATGTGGAGACCAGCCTGCCCGGCAAGCTGGAGGTGGTGCTGTATGCACAGCAGTCCGCCAAGCAGCAGGAGCTTAATAAGCAGCTGAAGGACAAGACTCTGCGGGTGGGGCTGGGGGCTTATGAAGGGGTGGGGGGGTGGGGGGGTGGGGGGGGATTCAGTTAGCTTGGGGCTAGTAGGTAACCCAAAAGGAAACGCAGGGCGCGGCATACCCGCCTGATGCCTGGTCCTGCTGGGAGCTCTGCACCACAGATGCATGGGCAGGCGGAGAAATCCCACTGCCCGGATCCTGGCTGGACGCTGTCAGTCACGGTCCACCAAACCACCCCGCCATCCTTTCAACTCCCCCCTCTCTTCCTCCATGTACCCCACAGGAGGCTCTGAGCAAGAGCGGAGGCGCTGGAGGCACGTCTCTCGCGTCCCTGAACAATATGCTGATGCAGCTGCGCAAGAACTGCAATCACCCCGACCTCATCACGGCGGCATTTGACGGTGGGTACAGATGGTCGCCGTTCCAGTCGACATTCCCTCCAGCCGCCGTATGGGCATGAAAAGCAATGCACTCAGCCTCACCTCCTTGTCCGAGCCCCATGCAAGTGCCAACTCTCAGCCACAGCCTCCTTCCAATGAAAATGACCCACTCCCCCCCACCACCACCAACACATGCAGGCTCGGTCTTCTTTCCCCCGCCAGAGGAGCTGGTGGCCGACTGCGGCAAGATGGCGCTGCTGGAGAAGCTGCTGAATAGGTTACTACCTGCGGGGCACAAGACGCTGATCTTCTCCCAGATGACGTCCATGCTGGACGTGCTTTCCAGCTACCTGGAGGCGCGCGACATCAAGCACTGCCGCCTGGATGGGTCCGTGTCCTGGCAGGACCGCCAGGAGGCCATGAAGGTGGGAAGGAGGGGTGGGGGCTGGGGCTAAGGGGTGAGGGAAGAGTGGGCACGTGCGTGCTTGCAACTGTCCAGGAGATGAGCAGGGAGGGGTTGGCCATATGATGAGGGTGGAAGCGGACTTTGATTCTCATTCACAGTGCTAAAACATCCTTAAACTTAGTGAGTATGCATCATGCAGGGGGCCAGACATTGTCTGATCACCCTGATCGTCCCATGTGCTACCTGCGATGCACCTACCCCACCCACTCATCCGCCCCAACCCCCCAACACACAGCTCTTCACGTCCGACCCCGAGCACAAGGTGTTCCTGCTTTCCACCCGCGCCGGCGGCCTGGGCATCAACCTGACGGCGGCGGACACCTGCATCATCTACGACTCGGACTGGAACCCGCAGCAGGACCTGCAGGCCATGGACCGCTGCCACCGCATCGGCCAGCGCTCGCCGGTGCTGGTCCTGCGCCTGGCCAGCGCGCGCAGCGTGGAGGGCAAGCTGCTGGAGCGCGCCGCGCGCAAGCTGCAGCTGGAGCGCATGGTGATCAAGTCGGGCGCCTTCCTGCACGCCGACGACGCTGCGGCGGGGAGCATGAGCAAGGAGGAGCTGCTGGACGTCATCTCGGGCGCCGGGAGCGGCGAGCACGACCTGGCGCAGTCGGGTGACATCAGCAACGAGGTCAGTGGGTGGGGATGGGGGAGTGTGGTGCTGAATCATCAAGAAAGGTGGGGGGGTCCTAGGTGGGGTAGGGTGTGGTGCGCCGGGTGCTGCGCCGGGGCTCGCATGTGGGAGGTTGGAGAGCTGCCCCGGATTCCCTGGTGCCCTGCGCAGCAGCAAGCAATCTCCCTCCGCCATGTGCATCGCAATGCCCGCCCCCCCCCCATGCCCCTGGTTTGCCATCATGCACCCCTCACCCTCCATCACATCTATTCATGCCTGGCCTTACACAAAGGAAGCGCACCTCCCCTTCCCCATTCTGCTGCCAGGTGCTGGACCAGCTGCTGGACCGGAGCCACCTGGAGGCAGGATCAAAGCGGCCGTACCCCGACCGGGGGGTCGGATACGAGGTCGTGCACCAGCTGAGTGGCAGCGGGCTGCTGGCGGGCGTGGAGTAGGGTGGATGAGGTGTGTACGAGCGGTACAGGCAAGGGGTTCAGGAGCGGGCGAGGGCATTCAGAGGGCGAGCAGGGCAGACGTGCCATCTGCGTGGCCCGGCGCGCGGGCTGCCAACGGCCGTGCTTCGAGACCCTCTCTGGCCTCTGCCACGGCGACTGCCCGGCGGCCTCCAGATGTCAGCCCCCGTAAGATACCCCTGCCGTTGCTGTTGTCACGCATGTAACAACACAGTTGCACAAGGGGGGGCGGCCAGGGAAGGTGTGGGGCCCGCAACACCTGCGGCCCGCGGGCATCGGTCGACGGGGCAAGCATGCCGCGAGCTTGGCCAGCGCAGTCTCAGTAACCACCATGGAACAGCGAAACACAGCCCCCTACCAGGCAGCCGGTGCCCACCACCTCCCGAGCACGCCGCGCCAGGCGAGCCGTAGCAGGCCTGGCGTCGCCCGCGCCGCGGCGCTGGTCGGCGGGTCGAAGCAGGCGGCGGGGCGCGGCGCGCCCGCCGGCACCGCCGCGCAGACGTAAGAGCGCACCAGCTCGGCGTGGTCGCCCAGCGCCACGCCGTTGACCAGCACCCACGGCACGCCCTCGTGGCGTGGGCGCAGCGCGGCGGTGGCCTCCCGCGCCGCGGCCGCCAGCCGCCGCGCCCGGTCGCCGCGCGCGCATTCAATCAGGGCCGAGGCCGCGAGCCCGCTGGAGGCCGCGCAGGCGTCGGAGCCCGCGACCGGGGCGCGCGTGCCGGTGCGTGCCAGGCACCGTACGTACGGGAACCACAGGGCCTGGGCGGGGTACAGCGCCTGGGCGCAGTTGATCAGGTCGTTGCCCGCGCACTCTGCCGCACCGTGCTGGCACTGGGGGCCATCCTGCGTGTGTGTGGGGCGGTAGAGGGGGGGCATGGGGGCGGTGAGAGCTGGTGTCAGCCGGCCGGCCAGCAGGGAGGTGCTGTGGACGTCCCCCGACGCTCCCCCAGGGCCACCCATGCGGACTGGGGGAGTCCATAGACAGCCACATGTAAATGAGCAGCGCCTCCATCCAAGGACGGGGCCGCCGGGCCAGTAGCAGGGGCACCGCGCGTGGAATGAGGCAGGCCCATGTCCCAGACCCTCCCCCCCTCCCTCCCTTACATGGCTTCGGTGGGCATTTCCCCAGGCAACGTAGCGGAACTCGATGTAGCTGGAGAAGCCTTGATCAAATAGATCTGAGGCCTGCTCCAGGATCCAGGCTCTGCAGTAGGGGCACAGAGACTCGCCGTACAGAGTCACTTGCACTGCTGCTGAGGCCGTGGCGGGGCAGGCCAGCACGGCGAAGGCCAGGAACAGTGGCAGGATCGCCCCCCTTGCGAGCATGTTCCCGCAGCTGGGTTCCCCAGGTGATAGTATTCAGTAAAGGTGTTCAGGTGCGAGGGGTGCATCGCGCCAATCCCACTTGCATGCGACCCCCATGGACCAGCAAATTCCGAAACCCTCGCATCGCATCGCATGGCAGTTTCCACGTCAGCAACAGCTGATCCATGCCGAGGGGTCCACCGGACCCCACCGCACCGTCGACCTTGCACGTCAGAGGCCAAGCATTGGTACGCAGTTTCGTGTCATTTGCTCTAGAACCCGCTACACCGTGCTCTGCGTGTCATGCAGTCGCGTTCCGCTCCAAGGAGAACAGGTGCTCGGTGGTAGCCACGGAATGCACTCATTAGCCGGACCGTCTCACGCCGTACAGGCAGCGATGCTGACGCCAACCGCCATGCCCTCTACGTGAGACGGAATATGTACGGCCTCACGCTCTGTCGCGTGACTCAGCGATCGCGACCACACGTCCTGCGCAGGCTTGCCGGCCTGAATGTTGTGGGGAAAGCGTGCCATGCTCACACACTTGGCCCCTCAACGCCATGTTGCATCCAGTGCTCACACCGTGAGCCTTTTTATCTCACAGGAGGCTATGTGGACCTTGTCGCCCGCCCCAAACACCGTTCTCGTCGCTGAGGCTGCCGATGCAACCTGGTGCCACGGCCAGGCACCCAGCCAGACACAGGCATGTCCCCCAGGCAGGCATGTCTGCCAGCCCTGGCGGGCACCCATCCTCGCCCTCCCCCCCCACCCCCTTCCTGGCGGCCTTCTGGAGGTTCCTGAGGCCACACACCATCCGAGGCACCCTGCTCGGGTCGTGCGCCATCACGGCCAAGGCCCTGGCGGAGAACCCGGCCCTCATCGACTGGGGTCTCCTGCCCCGGGCCTGTCTGGGCGTGCTGGCCCTGCTGGCCGGCAACGGCTACATCGTGGGCATCAACCAGGTGTACGATGTGGAGATCGACGCCATCAACAAGCCCTGGCTGCCCATCGCCGCTGGGGACCTGAGCCTGCCCGTGGCGTGGGCGCTGTGCCTGGGCCTGGCCGCCGGTGAGGTTATTGATTGTGTGGGGCTGGGCGTGGCAAGAGGCTGCCAGGCCGGCAACAGGAGCCCACAATGAGGGTCCTACACCTGCTCAGGGCTTGCCCGACTGGCCTACATTGTCTGCAGCAGCACTCCCCATGCCAGATGATCCGCCCCAGATTCAGCTTCACGTCCTGCATACAATGACCCCCTTCTCTATCCTGGCCACCGTCCAGCCCCTCAAATCTCCCGGTCTCCTGATCCTCGTCTGTCCCTTCCACCCCTCAACCCCCCCCAACCCCCACCTCACCACACAGGCGGGCTGGGCATCTGCGTCCGCTATTTTGGCCCGGCCATCGCCAAGCTGTACGCCACGGGCTTGGCCCTGGGCACGGTGTACAGCGTCCCCCCCCTGCGCCTGAAGCGATTTGCGGTCTCCGCCTTCCTCATCATTGCCTTTGTCCGCGGTTTCCTCCTGAACTTTGGCGTGTACCAGGCGGTGCGCGCCGCCCTGGGCCTGCCCTTCGTCTGGAGCCCCGCCATCACGTGCGTCGGCTTGGGAGAGGGGGAGCTTGTAGACCCGGAAAGGAGGGGATGGCATGTGGGGAATGACTTGATTAGAAGGGGCATGAGCCCGATCTGCCCTATAGTGCTCCCCATGGGTTGGGAGGCCCGGAGTGCAGGTGCAGGGTTGCAGCAGCCCACCTGCAAGCACACTCACACTCCTGTCCGTTACAAAGACCCACATACACATCTCTGCCCCCAGCCCGCCCATCCACCGGCTCCTCTCCCCCCCCCCTGAGCACGGTGTTCAGGTTCATGACGGTGTTTGTCGCGGTGTTTGCCACGGCCATCGCCATCACCAAGGACCTTCCCGACATCGCGGGGGACAGGGCCAACAACATCCAGACCTTTGCCACGCGGCTGGGCATGCGGCGCGTGGCCTGGCTCGGCTCGGGGCTGCTGCTGGCCAACTACGTCGGCGGCGCGCTGGCCGCCGCCGCCAACCCCGTCGCGCTGAATGCGCGGCTGGTCGTGCCGGCGCACGCCCTGCTGGCGGCCGCACTGACCTGGCAGACGGCGCGCATGGCGGAGACGCAGGCCGGCGTCACCGCCTACTACCGCTTCGTGTGGTACCTGTTCTACGCGGAGTACCTGCTGCTGCCCTTCATCTGACGCAGGATCGTTCCTCCCGGGGGGCTGCGGGGGGGCGGCGACCCCACCCCGCCCATCCACCTCACACCATCCCGTGCGCAGTTCTGTGACAGGTACCCCGCGCTGCGCGGATGGGTGGCAGACGGCGCAGCAGGGGTATACGTGCAAGCCTGGGGGCAAGTGGCGCGCGGGGGGTGCGCCACGCGAATATTTATGTTCAGGAATGGTATGTGCACGGAGGTTCCGGTGGCACGAGGTTTGGGGTAGGGCAGAATGGCACTCGAGGGAATGTGGGGGTAACCTCAAAAGGGGATGCAGGGTGCATGGATCGGGCAGTGGGCGTTCGATATCAAGCACGGCAGGAGTTTCGTACGTGCAGTCAGCCTGAGCAGGCATGTGAGGGGTGCGGGGCGTGGCGTGCGGCGGCGCTGGGCGCGCTCAGGCGGTGACCACGTCCACCTCACAGAGCGCCAGCGCGGTGGCGGCCTTGGGCAGGTAGACGGCGACGTAACGCGCGGGCGTGGGCGCGGCGCAGGTCACCGCCGCGCGCGCCCCGGGCACCAGCTTCGAGGGCACGACGCCGCAGGGGGTGAAGGCGGGCAGGCTGGCAGCGGAGGTCCAGGGCTCGGAGCCCAGCAGGATCTGTGCCCCGGCCAGGTCGGTGAAGCAGCCCTGGGCGCAGTCGCTGCGGGCCTTGACCACCACGCCCGCCACCGTGACTACGGAGCCCAGGTCCACAGTCCACCAGGCGTTGCTCAGGCCCGGCTCTGCGTGGCGTGGAGGGGGTGGGAGGGGGTGGGAGTCCCAGGGCGAGCAGGTGCCGGCGGTGCGCACAGCCTGGGGACGGGATGGGGGACCCTGGGCCAGACGGGAGCCCCGGGCAGGAAGTGGATGCTGCGCTGAGGGCCCCCTCCCCCCCCCCCCCCCCCCCCCTCCCTACGCTTCCCCACCTCCCACTCCCTGCAAGACAACTCACTTGTCATGGAGCAGGCGTGGTTGTCGTCGACGACATCGGTGTTGCAGTTGCCGTTGACGGCCCTGGCCGCCGGGTGGCCCGACCAGGTGGAAGACTGGCGGGCGGGCTGGCCGCGGGCGAGCGTGGTGCCGCATGTGGGCACCGTGATGGGGTGCACAGCCGCCACGGGGGGCACGGCGGAGCTCTGTCGTGAGGTTTGGTGGGGGAGGAGGATGACAGTCGAGGGCAGAGGGTCTGGGAAGACAGACCAGCAGGAGAAAAGGCGAGGGGTTGGGTTTGTGGGGTGTGCTTTGATGGACAGAGACACTCCCTTTTCAGGGGTGGGTGCGTTTATTTCTTGGGGGGTGGGGGTGACTTCTTCTTGGCGGGTGGGGGTGACTTCTTCTTGGGGGGTGGGGGCGACTTCTTCGTTGGGGGGTGGGGGCGGACTTCTTCTTAGGGGGTGGGGGCGGACGTTCTTCTTGGGGGGTGGGGGTGGACGTTCGTTCGTT